TTATCTATAGCTTATAAAACTACATATAATTGAATATATATATATATATTAAGAAAAAGGCATCTCCTTATCGTGCAACTGAAAGTTGCTGATGGCTGGCGCCATCTGTCGGAATAATAGTCTGTCTATATATAGAGAGAGAGTATATTGAAAGATATTTACATAATTTATTTATCAGTTACAATAATGCGATAATCTGTGAAGGACACATGCATTCTAAACAAATACTAATTATTGTATCATTAAATATTTACAAAGTAAATAAACACATATATTAACAGAGTGTGCTATATGCATATTAATAAGGAATATATTTACCTTACAGTAGACACGGTATTATATTTATTTAGAATTATGACACTAAAGTTACAAAAGGTATTATATATTCCAATTAATCATATTTATATAAATCATAAGAGAATATAACTTCGGGCATTATTGTCCTACTACAGGAGTACAAAAAGAAACAATGATGAAACGCCGTTAGATACTAATTCATAAGCAGTATATTCAAATCTATTACATCACAAATATACACCCATTATTATTGTTAATATCTATGAAATCATCTCATTTATATTCATGGACAAGACGTAAGAAAGTGGAATTTGATGCCGCCGGCCAGAGAAAACTTTATTCACATTGAGTGTACTCGTGTATCTTCAATAAAAGTAACTGTGTATCAAATATCTTACAGAGTTATTGTCTGAATCCCGATATACCTGCTAGAAGGTATAACTTCCTTAAGTTTTGTCTATGAATGTATGTTTAACTAATCATCGAATATCAGAGTCGTCCATCTAATTCAGCGAGTGGAGGATTGATAGAGAAAATATAAAAATCGTGGTAAATATCAACTGATTTTATTTTGATAGAAACAGACAGAATATTCCGCATATATCCAATAATTTGCGCTTTTATTTTCATACTGTTGACTCCAGTCAATTTGGTGAAGGTAGTAACTTAATAATCAAAGATGCTGCTACTAGAGGATTCTTGAGATATCAAGGAATGATGCCAGATGACATTGCATTCAAGAAATCATAGCTGAAAGAACATGATATTTCATTTTATTAATTCCATCATATAGTTCCTGTTCATTTTTTTTTTTTGAAACTCTTCTTCACATAATTTTATTAAGTATTAATATTACTAGTATTAAGTATTAATAGTTAATTACTATATTCGAATTTTGTAAGTTAAGTTGTAGTTACTAAATGCAGTTTTTGATCACATATCAATGGTGTTAAGGCTTACAGCAAATATTTGAATAATTTAATAGAATGATGCTCATATAGTAAGCAATTTGTAAATATCAAATTTGAATAAAAGATATAATCTTCTCATTATTTATCTATCATAGTATATTTTTATATAAAATCTGTTTATCTAAATATATATACAATATAGGTGCAATGTATAAGTGAATAAGACATTCAATTATTACTGTTAAGTGGGTCCATTTATGTTTTATTTAGGACAATTTGTTTAGCAATTGCTGTCTCAGTTCCGATATTTGTTTAGTAGCCCCAAACTTAGCTATATGAAATTATATCACTAAACAAAAAATATAAAAATTATATTCTATTCAGATTTTTAATATGGAAATTATATTGAAATATATAAGACTATATTGTATATGGAGCAGATATGAAATATATATTTTAACCGCATTTAGCAGTATAAATCTATTAGAAATTTTTGTTCCACTTGGACGAAGGCGTCATTTCCAAAATTCAATTTAAAATTCCATGCATATAGATGAGTTATTAAATCATTAGGATTGCTTAAGTTAGTCTAAAATATTAAATTGGAATTTCTTTCAATTTGAATTAATGTAAATGCACCCCTATATGATATACATAAATAGATAATCTGAAAAATATATATCCAATCTGAAATAAAGTTTTCTATAAAAAGTATTATTAAAAAGATAACATATATTACACTTATATGAAAATAATATAAATATATAATATGTTTTCGTAATTTTGCTTATTTTGAATTCTAATTAATGATTATTCTCTTTTTCGATGAACAAATGTATATATTTTCGTGAAATATATTTTTAACTTTCAAAATGATTGAATCTTTACTTCTCTGTATCATAAAAAAACATGAACAAGTGAAACATACCTATTTTATCAAAAAGATGTATTAGCGTTGCAACTGTTATAGAATTTTAAACTATTACAATGCATTTGGTTCTTTTCAAAATTATACAATATTCTACTGCCCACCGATGAATCATTTCCTCCCAAAAATGTTTTATTACAGTCATTGCAGTAGAAAAATGTTTAATTTCTAAATTTATTATACGCGTTATAAATAATTTCTATTCCTTTTAACTATATACTCGTCATAATGACCAAAATTAAAATATAAAATGAAAATACGTTTCTATTATAATTAATTATACACAAGAATTTAAATCATGTTTCAATGTATTATAGAAATATATATTAAGATATAGTTATTAACATATATGTTACACCTATTTGGAAGATATTTTGATTATATATTAAAAATGTCTACACCAAATAAATATATCAATTTTGAATCACTAAATTTAGTTCGAATTATTATATAATTTTTTCTTGATAATAAGATGAATTTCTCTGATTATATTATATAATAAATCATACTCATATCGTTATCTAAGAAGTGTATTAAATTACTTTCCTAATTTTATTCTAAAAAATTGAAAATGATATTACTTAAAAACAATTATAAACATAAAAAGCTTTCTTAAAATCAAAATATTATAATATATAAATACACATTTTAACCCAATATTCAAGTAAATGGATAATTTAGAAAAACATATTTACAAAACACTTTATGAAGAGTTCTACATCAAAAAAGAGACAAAATACCAATATCTATATTAAAAATATAGAGAAAACCTAATTTAAAATTCCTAATTTAAATTAATATTCCACCATAACAATATCCAATAACTATATCAATCAATTATTTAAATGGGTGCGTGAATAAATCAGGGGTTAAATAGAATCTGCTGCAATAGTTTGGGCAATAAGGTTAGGTTAAATCATTCGAGAAGATGGTATAGGAACTCATTACAACGACGAACGTAATCTAGGGCCTATCAGGACCACTTGTCTTGGAGAAGTATTGATTTACCAACACCAGGCATATATCGATTTCTTGAAATTTAAACCTTTCATTAAATTATCCACTAGTCTCAATTGATTTCAGATTCTTCGGGCTTTTCTATCGGTTTTGATATATGAATATGAATTATTTAGCTTGCACACACCTCTTATCGGGATTTTTTTATGATTAAATACAAAATATATAATCGATTGAATCTAAATGATTTTTTATATATTGTAGCGTCTAATCGTTTTCAAAATATATCTGACATCTTTAATGATTCGTTTCACTTTATATATTTTTTGTCTGTATGATTTATTGAATATATTATATTATTGCATCATCGTTAAACCTACGAAACATTTAAAGAATAATTATTTCTCAAAATTATTCGATTATATGAAAAATGGTAATTCCTTTCACAAAGAAATTATTTACCATTATAAAATAGAATAAGGTATAATATCCTTATAATTATACAGCTTGAATAATTCTTTTTTTAGAATAATGCATAAATACAACTCTTAAAATGGGTTTTTAAAAGTAAGGTTAGAAAACCATGAAGAAAATAAAAGCATTTTCGAATTTATAAAAAAGAAAGAGAACATACGAGAATGGTTTCTTTTTAATATAGATTTTTCTGTATGCTATCAGTGGGGCAATACTGAATGCTAATTGGGTAATTAATTCAATGACAATTGGGTAATTATGGTTACGAGATAGTAGAATGAAAATAAGGGGTCGAAAATAAAATGCATACATTATACATAATAAAATATAAAAAAATCAGGTTTATATTATAATAGATTGTTTAAAGAGCATATTGACTATTAGATTATTAATCATATATGAATATAAGTAAGAGATTCGATCAGAAATCTCCTAAGACATCAATACTCTGGTTTCGCCTGGAGTTGGTCTCATACTGATGTTTGAATTATTATAGATCATATAAGTTGTAATCATGCAGAGAAACGAGCTCGTGAGATGTTTTCTATAAGTAAGGGTTATAAAAGTATATTTTCTATATATTAATTCAATAATATCAATCTATAAATCGAATATTGCTTATAAATCCTAGTAAGGGAGAGATTGAGAATGAAACTATTTTATTACAACAAAAAACATCCATTTAGATCATATAGGTTTAAATACCATTCATATAAATATGTTTTTCTTTCCATTGAATATAAGCAAAAATATTTTAAAACTTAATTCTATTGACGTTATGTGGCGCAGATTTTTTTTGACACCCTACAAAACGTTATAATACCTTAATAAAGGTTGGCGTTCAGCCGACTGAAATATTAGTAAAATAAATGATATTTTGATCCAATATATTCTTTTTTATTTAAAGGTGTATTTATGGATTGCTCTATTTTCCAAAAAAAAAAAAATAAATATGTGAATATTAAAGATTATATAATTATATTAATATATTTATATATACTAGTGTCCAAAATTAAAGTACAATACTCTGAATCCTTGATAAAAAAAAATAATAATAACGAAAAATAATAAAAATTATTATATGATATGAAAATTACACCAAACCGTGTAGCCAGTCAATAAAAATAATTTTGATGCTTCACCTAATATGCTAATTAGAGTCATTCCTTAAAGAGAGTCCGATTTTGCGTGACTTTTTAGCATGAATGTGATTATCTGAATATATAATATAAAATAAAACTGGTTTAAAACTATATTACCATACAATATAAAGCGGCTTATGATTGTAGAACGACATTTGAAAATTATCCCGCGTGTGTTTCTTTTAAACGAAAATTCGAAATCCAAAGGAGAAATAACGATTATTTCTAACCTTAGGGATGAAGTATGAAAAGATGAATTTTGGAGAATAATGATAAACGGAAAAATAAAGTATCCAGGAATGGGAAACGAACCCACAGTGTTCCGCTTACCGGGCAGATGCCTCATCTACTAAGCTACCCTGGACAATTTATTCTTTCATACTTTGTCTCTAAGGTTAGAAATAATATCAATTAAGAAGGTTCAGAAGATGAGTTTCTTTAATTGTAAAAACGCTACAAGCTTTCGGGCAAAAGCACTTCGACAGGCAAAAATATAACTATACTAAGCTTAGTATAGTTATATTTTTGCCTGTCGAATGGCTTTTGCCCGAATGCTTGTAGCGTTTTTACAATTAAAGAAACTCATCTTCTAAACCTTCTTAATTGATATACCTTACCAGAAGAGTCTTTACCTTTAATAGTTAGAAATAATCGTTATTTCTCCTTAAAATGAATTTCGATTTTTCGTTTAGAAGAAACACACGCGGGATAATTTTCAAATGTCGTTCTACAAAATACATTACCATTAAAATATTTCAACTTAAATACAATATAGTTTAAGGCATTTGAAGGAAAGTACCAAAATATCCATTGAAAATTATATTTGGGAAAGAAACACTATAATGATATAAATATATATTGCTCTCAACTAGAGATAGAGTAACAATAAATGTATACGTTTATTTTAAGAAAAGATTTTCTTCTCTTCCAAGGTAATTTTGTTTCATCAGATTTGTAACCTGATATAAAAGACACAATAAAGAAACAAAATAAAATTTATTTCTTCAAGATTGGCTGTATTTCTTTAGTTACGAAACCAATTTCCAAGTAACATGTTACAAGATGAACTCAAAATTTCTATGTTTGTTTTGGAAAACTAAGTTAGAGATAGGTTTTTATACAATATATACAGGGTGATCCAAAAGTCCCGCACAACTTTAAAAATTAATAACTCCGCGAATATTTGCGCAAGAGCAATGCGGTACACACTATTGTGTTCAGGATGCAATGGGATTTTTTATGGCAAATAATGAAAAATTCGAAATTGATTTTAGTTACAACTTTATTCGCTAGATGGCGCTCTACCAGAATCAGCTATTCAGCGGCCGAAATGTTTGCTAAATTGAAAAATATAACTGAACGACACGTATTTTTTCCTTTTTAAATACCAGGAAAGAACCCAAATAATATCAAATGATAAACTAATAAAACACCATTTCGCCAAAAGTTAGAAGAAACGGTTAAGGATTTTTAAATACAATCTGAGATATGTAAAATAGGTATATGCAAATTAAAACATGTAGCAAAAAATATTTATATTTTAGATGGAGTTTTGTGAAATAGATTGAATGTTTGAAAATAACTACTGATATCAATACACGATTTTTGAAATGTTAATATAGTACCAAAAATTATGATGGCACTACTAATAGGATTTCGTGCTATAAGGAATGTATAGTTTCTTGACTAATTGGCGACACTTGACTATTTAACTGGATATTTGTCATGATCCAAAGATGAAATATAGAGGGGAGTGACAATATATATTTGTCGTACTTTATGCCAAATATCCTATGGGTTTGTCAAATGTTAACATTGTTTATTATACTGTACATAATTTTGAAAATGTATCCCCTAAAAAAAATCATTTTTAAATCGACCTTTTGCGTTGAAAAACGTGGTAGCATAATCATTTTGTATTATTTTTTGCGCAAAATTTCTAAAGTAGGGGGGGATACAGAGAATATTCCTTATGCTACTTCTTCTAATGAGCGAAAAGCGATAAACTAAACATAAGGGTTAAAATGGTATATACCAGTGTTTTTCGAGAAGTTATAACACTTTGGCCTGCACGACATAATATAAGATGTGGGAAAATGACAAACAAAAAAATTAATGTTCACAGAAAAAAAAAGAGTCAAGATGTGAGGACAGCATTTATTATTCCTATTACCCAAAACAAAGAGCTGCAAAATATGACACATGAGGAAACTGCCTTCTCTCTTGTATTAGGTCACAATCCTTGCTCAATGTGGCGCCCTTCATTCTCAAACACCGCCTGCAGACGATAGATGACAGAATGGTCACAATTAAATAGTTGAAATTTATAAAACGTGCCATCTGATAGAAGCTTTCAACATGGCCAATGTAGTAGGCCGGCATCGATAAAAACGCGACTTAATGTACCCCCATAACCGAAATTGTAAGGTGTCAAGTCTGGTGATATTGGAGGCCACTGGTATATAAAGTGGCGACTTTTCAACGAATTTCACCGAACGTATCCTTCAGCAATTGTTTGGCACCGCGGGAGATATGAGGAGGTCCTCCATCTTGCATGAATGTTATTTCGCTTAGTGCTTGTCTGTCCTGCAATATGGGAATAACCTTTTCTCTCAAAAGTTGAACATAACGTTCATCAGTTACAAAAACTATTTTGAAAGTTCATCCATTGATTTTTTCGAAGAAAATTGGCCCAAAAATAAAAGAAGTGAACCCACACAAAACTATAACTCTGTGCTGATGAAGTAGTATTTCTTTAAAAATCCTAAGGTTTTCTGTTGCCAAAATGAGGCAGTTTTGAATGTTAAATTCTCTCTTTAGAGAAAAGTGAGCATCATCTGTTCTTAGAACATTTGACAGCCAGTTTTCATCAATATCAATTTGCCGGAAAACCCATGAAGCGAATTCTTGACGCTTCTCAAAATCGCTGACTTTCAACTCGTGAAAACTTTGAATTTTTTTTTAGGGTATTTTTATAGAAAAATTCTAAATGCGTGTTCTCTCCAAACTGTTCCATACGAAATCCCCGTTTGTCGAGAAACTTGTCTAGCACTTACTTATCCATACCTGGATAACGTTTCAATAGATTCAGCATTCTGCAAAACCGTAACAGCCACTGACTTGCATGTCGATGCTCTTCCACTCCGAGGTTTTGTTTCCAGAGATCCAGTTTCCTCAAAACCTTTAATCAATCGCTTTAGAGAGTAGCAACTCATTGGTCATTTACCGCTTCGAATACCTTTAAAGGAACGAAACGCTCGTAAAGCTTCAGTGGCAGATTCTGAATCACAATTAAAATAATTCACCAAGAGTGCTTTATCCTGTAGTGACGGCATTCCAGGGGGAAGGGGAGAAGTCCGACCACACCTCCTTGCGGTCCCCCCTGGACCCTTGCAATATTAACCAAATTCTGGTTAGTTTCGAAGATGACTAACGTTGCTACGGCACCCATTTTCAAATGAAGAGCAAAACTGATATCTCCAGTAATGCTACCGCGTCCGGGGTAACCGCCGCGTCAGGAGCTGCAGCTCGAGCTCATGATGAGAAATCTACTACGAGGACACAATTCAATCTACTACAACTCAATATAAATGGTACCCAGAGGAAAATAAAGAGCTGACTTGCCTTCTCAGTGACAACAATGTACATATTACTTGTCCTCAGGAGACAAAATTGAATCAGAATCTGAGTCAATATCAAAGATTATACAACACTACGAAAGGACAGACCGGGAAAATTCTGAGAAGGACTTGCCGTTTTGATTAAAACTCTAGAAATCAAATTTAAGGAAATCGCCTATAATCAGAGTGAGCTTAGAGCGCACGACAGAAGCTCAGGCAATAGAAATCTATCTTACAGATAAAACAATTCCAATCATAAATGTTTATGACCACGATAATACTAGCATCAATACAGGCCTGATAGAGACATTAAGTGAAGCGTCTTCGGATATCGCAATCATACTTGGTGAATTTAACGCCGAAAGACCAACTTGGGGATCACCTTTCCAGAATAACAAAGGTAAGCAGGTTGAGGACATGCTAACCGACCTCTACCTTACACCGTTAAATAACAAAAAGAACACCTATCTATCCAAGTCCACAGGCACAGAATCCGCAATAGACATCACAGCGATAAATTACAACATCGCACCCACAACACAATGGAAAATTCCGAAAAGTGCAATCAGTGACCACAGACCACACACACACACACAATTTTAACAACCATAAAATTCAAAATTGAGAATGTCCAACAGAATAAAAGAACATTGAAAAAAAATCACTGAAAATCTTGAAGAACTGCGCAACGAAGAATTAAATCACAAAACGATTGACAAAAAATTGGAAAAATTCTCTTCGAACATATCCAAAGCTGCAAAAGTATCGATACCTAGAAGAAGACGTAAAGACCTGTGAATACTTTACTGGAAGGACCATAATATCGAGGCAATGATTGCAGAGAGAGACACATTCAATCAACTTCTTAAAACAAATAAACAGAAGAAATCATAAAGGAACTCATTGAAATTAGTCACAAAATAGAACAAGAAATTTGGATATTCAAACAAGAGAGAGAGAAAAATGGGCAGAATTCTGCGGAAAAAATGGATCCAAAAAAGGAAAGCCATCACTGGAATTTAATTAGTGTTATAAAACAATCAAAACCAACACTAATCCTCCAATACTCTAACCGATATGAATAGCGAGAATGAACAAACAGATGGCTGAAATAATTGCTGAATATCTTTCAAGCACTTCCAGACTCAGCTATACGAATGAAGGCAGGACTCTAAAAAATAATGTAAACAGGTTAGTTAAACAAGCAAGAAATTACCATCAAAAAGATATTTACTCGAGAGACTTCACACTGAATGAGCTAAACTCATCAATAGGAAAGTTAAATCCAAGATGTCACCTGGAGATGCTCTAATCTTTGGTCAAATGATTAAACACTTTGGAGACAAAGGTAAAAATCAACTCCTACGAATACTGAACATTTCATGGCAAACTGGTAAACTACCAAAGAATTGGAAGATATCAATTATAGTGCCAATACTGAAACCAAACAAAGATGCCAAGGAATGTAAGAACTATCGGCCAATTGTACTTACCAGCATACTTTGTAAAATAACAGAATGAATTATCCATCTAGGCTCATACGAGGGCCATCCAATAAATAAGTTTCCCTATTTTTTTTTAACAAATAAACGACATTATTTACAATTATGCAGTTATTTTATTTTCATTATACAACTCATAGACTACTTCTCTAAATAATCACCATTTCTGTCCAAACATTTTTGGTACCGTTGTAGCAATTTTTAGATACCACTGTTGTACCAAGCCGTGTCCTGTCTTCGTA